TATTCACAGGGCATAATTATTCGTGCGAAGCACGATGCCTACCATTGTCATAGAAGATTTTGTAAAAAAAAGCTAGTTAGGTTTTGTTTTTAATTATTTTTGTTTGGTTAAAAAAAAAATATATTTAAAATGATTTTTGATTTTTTTTGATAATTGATTTGATAATAATAAAATAAATAAAATAATTATAAATTAAGTATAATATTATATTATCAATTATTTTAATTTATTATTTTTATTACTCATATATATTAGTGACGTACATGACTTCATTATTGACATCTATATTACATCTTTTCACTTAAGATTGCTGGCAATTTTTTATTGATTCTTTGGTATTACTCTTATATTATGGGTCTTTTGGGAAGTGGATTATAATTTACTTTTTAGATTATAATCCACTTCTCTCTCACAAAAAATTAATTATAATTGATTTTTAATTAAAAAATTAATTATAACCATCTTATCAAAAATATCATATATCTATTACCGTTCTGTCACCTATCAGTAAAGTCATTAGAAATCCGAAACAATCCACCATCCTATCACGTCAGTTACGGCCTTTTTTTGAGTGATGATTAAAATTTTTTTTTAATTTTTAATTTTTAAAATTATATTATCTCTTTATTTTTTATATATTTTTTTTAAAATTAAAAAAATAATTTTTTGATCAACTTGTCAAAACCCTAATAATGAAGCTTCTGCATGTCTTCTCAAACACACTTCTAAGATTACACCTTCCTTCTCATTCACTCGCACCTTCCCTCTCTCATCTCCCTCTAGGTTTGGTATCCTTCAAAAAATTTAAAAGTCAAAAAGTCACTATCTTATTAAGTCACATCATCTTATTAAGTCATATCAAACTCTCTAACACATCACTTCAAACCCACCCAAATTCAACCCATATTTCATAAAAGTTAAAAAGTGCACTTATTTAATCTTCCCAACTTGGCCTACCTCTAATACAATTCTTAAATCTCAATATAATAATATAATTTTTATATTATATGACAGTTATCGTGATATTTCTGTCTAATTTTAGAAAAAGAAAATTAATTTTGAAAGTAAACTGAGAAAAACTTAAAACACGAAGAGACAAGTAAAAAAAAAAAAAAAAATTAATTTTAAAAATCAAAGTAAAAAATTAATCAAACATAAAAGAGATAAAATATAATTATCCAAGATTTTGATAAAATTTGGGTGCCAGTATTCCCTTTAGTGAATAGTCATTTTCCTTGGTCCGCAAGATTGCTAATCTAATGGAGCTTTGAATTGAAATCCTAATGCATCCAAGAACATTGCTTTGAGGACTAGTTCACGAGTCTCTTTTTTTTTTTATTGTCAGCTCATGCTTGTCTTTATTTGACTTCTTTTGTATGCTGCACACAAATGGTCGGTTGTCAAGTTTGATTCATGAATTCCAATCACCTTTCTTGTTTCACTTTTTAAAAAATACTTTTCAAAAAATTTTACTTTTTATTTTTCGTATTTTTTATTTTTACTGATTTTTTTAATATATTAAGCAATTTTTTTACTTTTTAGACACACCTAACATAAATACACCTAAAAA